CCCCCCCCCCCTTACACGTTACAAACAATAGTACTTTTACTTTTACTTCGTACTTCAAGTAGTTTTTAAGGATACTTTGTACTTTTTACGTACGTTTTGCCTCCAGTACTTTTTACTCTTACTCAAGTCGTTTTATTGTTAATTACTTCTACTTTTACTCGAGTACAAATTCAAAGTAATTTATAAAGGCCATGTTACACGGTGCAATTTTTCTTGCAACTTGCAATGCAATTCTATTGTTGAGAGATGTTATTAGATAGCTTAAGATCTACAACGTCGACGTCAGCTACGACGTCAGGGCTATGCAGAGGACTGGGACTAGGATGTCGTCCTAATGTAGTCCCAGTCCTCTGCTTAGCCCTGACGTCGACGTCGTAGATCTTAAGCTATCTAATTAGTGAAATCAGTGAAGAATTTTCGATATGTTGAGAAAACACCAGCGGAGTGCATTGGCGGAGTGTAATGAAGACTCCTATTTGGCAATTTTACATCTCTCAAGAGTAGAATTGCATTGCAAGTTGCAAGAAAAATTGCACCGTGCAACATGGCCTTTAGGCACCACTGTAGGTGCGTAAACACACTGATTGAATTGAATTTTATGCATGGAGTTATTTAAAAGTTTTTGGCCGGTATCGTTCAACATATGAACATGATTATGTGCTAATCAATTGATTACGCAGCACGCAAGTCTCGAACAAGCTGAGTCAACTGATGCGACTAATTTAACTTAGAAAGTTAACTTTCAATTAGAATTTTCATGCACATTTATACGGTTTTGACATACTCGTACGATTACAATGCATTCTAAACTCCCAGAGGTAATGAAGTTTGGGTGTTTGCAAAAAAAGGATGATTTCCAAAGGGTCACTTTGTTTCTAAACACCCTGTATGACAGACTCACAGACATACCTGAAATTGAACTATCACATGAGAAAATTAAACCCTTGGCATTAACAATTGATATACAATGAGCAAGGGACTCTTTTCTTAAGTTGTAGTTCACCAGAGCTGAAATAACACCAATTTTCGCTAAACCAAGCCAAAAGAACACTAATTCAGGTCGATTCTCCATGAATAACGCGACCACATCGCCTTTCTTGTAACCGATACTTTGGAAGTAATTTGCAACTTTGTTGGAAAACATTTCAACTTCGTGAAATGTCCAAAGTTTGCCTTCAAACATGAATGCGACTTTTTCTTTATGTTTCTTGGCTGTTTCGTGAAAGATATCACATACAGTCCAGTTGTTCTTTACTGCTTTTATAACTGGTCTATATGCTTTTGCCAATGTAAAGATGAATCTAAATTAAAGTTGGTTAGTATAGGTTCAAGTTTACGAAAGCATAGAAAATTTAGAAACTCCAGAATGTCTAAAAAAGTAGACAATTTTCAAATGGTCACTAAACTGGAAATTCCAAAACGTTCGAGCCGGATGCCAATCAACACTAAAATTTTTCTCAAAATTAACAATCAACATGGGTTGACGTGACCGAAGTCGTAAAATTAAAAGAGGTCATTGTGAGGAACCACTTAGCATGCAATGATTTTGCCGCGATGGTAACAAAACAGTTGACGGAAAAAGTCCGCCTTTTCGCTTTGTGATATCATGTTGGACCGCAATCTCGTACCCTGAGCAATGCCTGTGCGCGGGCTAGGAAGGCATTGGCTCTGGGGAAATTGGCAACCGGAACCCCTAAATTTAGGGGTTCCGGTTCTTTGTCGGCATGCACTATTGATAAACGTTAAGCCAATCACAGCACAGGAAAAATTCAATTTCCCCAGAGCCAATGCCTTCCTTGCCTGCACACAGGCATTGCTCTGGGTAAAAGATTGGTTGGACCGCTGTTGGAGGGCAACATTACGTGTACCGACATTCGACGGAGCGAATGATTAATGCATATTTATTGTTTAAAGATGTTCATCATCAAACAACCTCATAGAAACACTGTATATTTGTAAGATTTGCCGTCGCATAGCATGACACATGACTAACTTCCCCAAAATCTCAGAAAGCTTTAGATTTGACCTCGGACTTAACTACTGAAGTACGGCGACGACACAACCGAGGTCTATCACTCTGTCAGGCCTTAAACATCCTAAGTTATCCTAAACGTCGACAGCATTGCATTGAAATGACGACATATAGAAAGTAAAATAGCGACCATTTGATAAAGCCTGAGAACCGTCCTACGTTTTGCTGCCTTTAATACAATTTTCGTCGGTAGAATGGCTAGTTAAAACGTAGGACTGTGCTGTGGCTACAATATGGCACCAACATCGTCTAAATTGTTCCATCGACCAGTAGAAAACAACAACAACAAAAACCGAAATTTGCAAAATGGCGGCCAGCCGTTTTGTGGAAGTCACTGAAAAATAAATAAGCGAAATTAACATAAATTCAGTCCCAAAAAACACAAAAGAATTATTCTCCTCAGGCTCGGTGACTATCAGGGGAATATTCAAAGATCCTGGGTACGAGGATGGGGAATATTCACCTGAACTTCGTCTCAGTGAATATTCCCCGATAATCACATCGCCTTCTTCGGCGAATAATTGTTAAATACTTATGCAAATGAAATAGGGACTGTGTACTCACAGTACTGTATCATGTATACCAGTGTTGCAACAAGTCACCAACAGGTCGAGTCACGTCACCCAAAGGTTGAGTCACTCGAGTCAATAGAGACCTTACGATTTTAGACATTTTAGGACGGCAACGCGACGGCTAGACTTGCCACAAGTCGACCTCGAACGAAACGCGAACAGCGAGCGACGAGTCGACTTGTGGCAAGTCTACGCGACGGCGACGGCCAAAACAAACTCCTTCAAATAAATGGTATGCATTTAATACAGTCTTACCGGAGTGTCTTAGAAGTTGAAGACATGGGTTTTACGGTTGGGAAGAGTTCCGCTAAACCCGGTTTGAAGTTGCACTTGTTGTGGCTGTTGACTCGAGTCGAGTCGCAGAAATATTGCGACTCGAGTCCGAGTCAATGACTCGACTCGTTACAACACTGCTGTCAATATACTCACAAGTCACAGTGGTATATACTTTTAAATACACGTACACGCCATAATCTCGTAAAGGCCGCGCGATTATAACACTGCACAACTTTTGCTTAAAACTGTCCGCCGCATGCAACCGCTTACAACTTGAGCTGTACTGTGTAAATCAAGCCCACAACTCATCTACGACAATGTAGGAATGTACGTGGGCGAATTGTATTTCTTGATTTACACAGTACAACTCAAGTTGTATAAAGCAGGTTGCATGCGCCAGATTTAGGGAAAATTTGTGAAGTGTAAATCGGTATAGTGTAACGTTTGGGGCTTGTTTATAGTTCAACCTTTGGCGATAAATACATAATCAAACAAACCTGAAATCGCGAGGGAATGTCAACCAAAGCAGGCGAATAAAACGCCAGCCACCAGACGCGAGATAAATACAAAATGTTGTGCCAAAGGCGACCAACCAGGAAAGATTTAACACTCGGACCTGTATTGCCATCAAGGCTAGGCCGATAGAGAATTTATAGGACATTTTATTTGCACGAAATAGCGAAGACTTGTACCAGAAGTTGATTCCGGAATCTAAAGCTAGATAGCATTGTTGTATTGAAGTATTGAATTACTTCAGTGTTAGCCTTTGAACCTTGGCGTGGGCCGCGTGGCAACGCGCGGCTTCAAAACCCTTCATGCAAGTATGAATAATTTGTAGTCCCAAGGGTGTCCTCAACAGCTCTAAAAGATCTAAAACTCTCCACTGTTTAATAGTGATATTTTTTATTTTTTTCTAAAGTGTTCAGTCGGAAAGGAGCTAAAATTTATTAAAGTTTTGCAGGCAAATTTGACATGTTAGTGTTTCATAAATAGATCCATCTTGATCCATCTAGACCCATCAATGCACCATGATTGGCATAATTTTTTTCTGGACAGCATGGATAGTCCGACACTGCATGTCTGCATCCCAAAAAATGCAAGTTTGATTGCCTTGATTAATTGTTTAGATTATTATAGTTGATCTAGTACACGGCACCATGCGGTACAGTACACTCAATAAACCATTGAAATCATGCATATGTTTTGTTAACCATAACTCATAACATTGGTTCATGGTCAGTACTATTGGTTCTATTGGTTTTATTTTACAATCAGTATTTTCGAATTTTTGTTGCCTGTCGATGACTTTCAACATGGAAGTTTTTTTTTTTTTAACTTGTATTCTCAGTCGAATGTATAGTATCACATGGTGTATATAAATAATTCTATCTGTTCTGTTGAAAATGCAGTCTGTAAATGCACCATTTGCGGTTGACCTTAAAATGTTGGAGGAACGCTAACAAAAGATCAGCAGCTATTGTAATGTCGAGAGTGTTTTAGGATCGCTGCAGCAAAAGTCAATTCCTTTTTGGTTCAGTTAGGATCGCTGCAGCAACTAGTCAATTCCTTTTTGGTTCAGTTGATCTACAGGAGAAAACTGGAGTGATAGACTGAAAACCTGTGGTAGTTGGTTCAGTTCAATATCCCACCAGACAACTAGCCATCCATTATTGATCTAATCATCATTCCCCGTAGCTAAGCATGTTCCGAAGTTAAACTCTGCTCGTCTGCCTGACAACAGGATTGTGAAGCGTTATCCTCAACATCCCTTCTTCCTCTTTGTTGTCCCTCGATATCAACCTGAATGCCCCCCACGTGTTGCTCTGTTATGACGTCATTCTCGCATTTTGAGCTCTCTTCTCTGTCCTTGTGATGTTTCACATGGTTGATGTGATTTTCGACGGTACTATAAGTTCGTTGCTTCTCTAGAGCAATTGAATGTCTTCTTCTTGCGGCCTCGTTTCGACCTCCTACGTCCATTCGAACTGGCAGAGGCCTTACTACAGTGACACAAAATAAGAACAGGAAATTATAGATTGTAAGGGCTGATCTAACCTCATCTGCAAGGAGGGTGTAGGTTCCCATGGGGTGGTGCATGAGGGAGCCTTACTGCCCACTCTGCAGTCTGCAACGCTTCTATCCAACAGTACCATTATTTGAGATGGCCGAATCTGCATGTTCGCCGTTGTGTTACGTTTTACATCATCTTTTGCTTATAAAGTTTCTCAAGGACGGACTGGACAGTTGCTGTAGCACAGTAGAGTAAATCTGCTTGTCAGGGGCGAAACTAGCCCCTTTTAATTAGGGGGGTGTCTGGCAGAATTGCCCTGCCAAAACTAGTGATGCCCTGCCAAAAAGTACCAAAAATTTTTTTCCGGAAAAATTATTTTGGCGACCTCCACCCCCC